GCAGTCCAAGGTGCTGCTCGAGGTCGGCGTCAAGGTCTGGGCCAACGACCAGTGCGCCAAGAACCTCAACGGCATCCACGAGTCCATGATCTGCGCGGGCGGCGTCAAGGGCAAGGACTCGTGCCAGGGCGACTCGGGTGGCCCGCTCACGGCCGTCAAGAACGGCAAGGAAGTCCAGATCGGCGTCGTCAGCTGGGGCGAGGGCTGCGCGTTGGCCAACAAGCCCGGTGTCTACGCGCGCCTCTCGTCCGGCAAGGACTTTATCGCGCCGTACCTCACCAAGACGAGCCTTCGCTCGACGGCCAACCCGCAGGAGGGTTAGGTCACGGCTCCTCTGGACGTTGTGTAGTAGTGTGTACACATCTGTGTCTCGTTGAATACCAGCAAGTCATTCTTGGTTTTTGCATTACCTCTGGTTTCTTGGGTAGGTAAGGTAGTTGGCTGCTTCGCGAACTTTTCTTCTCAAGACGCCTGGAAGTCAGTTTGCAGAAGATGGATATACGGTACTGGTATGCATGGAAAGCTCCTATTTCCGTCGTACGAGCATGTTTATCGTCAGGGCTATTCAAAGCTTTTATCTGGGGCACATGCCAGTTGAAGAAGGTAGATCCCAGCTCAATGTACGCACCACAAATGAAATATGTGGGATATCAAACTCGCTTTTTTGGCTGGAACTCGCTCCAGTTTTTGGTTTAGTTGCTAAATTGGAGCGACCCAGAGCAGCATTGCATCATGCGTTGTGGACTACAGTTGCATGCTAGAGACGCGAAACGTCTCGCAGTTGTCGCCCACCAACGCGCTCATGTTTCGGACGGTAGATAGCAGCAACATTGCTTGCGTATCGCTAGAGTCCCTCTAATATAAGTGCTCTTGTATTAGAATATCGGCAGCAACGCTCCTTGGCGCGACGAGGCACGTACACCGGTGCACGGATCGTTTCCTAGCTTACCACTTCAACAACAACTAGCTTGACGCTGCACTTTGCGACTCGCAAACACCGCAGAAAGCCACATCAGAGTATTACCAAACACAAATGACATTGAGCTTACAGGACATGCGCGATGCGACTCTATCGTCAACGTCAGTGGCAAAGTAACGTTTTTGCTGAAACCATCACGT